GTTCCAGGTATCCTCTGAGGGTTTGGGGAAGGCTGTGTTTCTGGGCAGAGAGGAGAGAGTTCAGTTAAGTCTGTTAAAATAAACAACCAACAGAGCCCAGCTGTGAAAATTCCCCAAGCAGACAAAACCAGTCCAGTCAGACAAACTAAGCTCAATTCAGCTTATTTTTCAAGACCAACACAACCTAGGTCATTTCTTGTTCATGCCTCTGGAAACCGTAAGCAAAAATTTCCTGAGATTGTGAAAAGGTAGCCCCTGACCAACTCCTTATCATTTTAGAAAATTCCAACATTATCAGATTTCTGTAAATGGGGCATTTGTGGGAAATCGGTCTGTCAGTCCTGAAGTTTTCTTTTCCTGAGGGCACATGCGTGAGATTGTCCATTTCATATCGTCCAGTTCCATTGTAGATTGAAATTCTTTAATGCTGCCCAACAGAAAATATCCTTGGAAATCTTGAAGTCAAAATCCCATGCCAAATGATCATCAGTGAGTTTAAAATAAATGGCTCTTGAAGAATTTGGTCCAACATATGACGCAGCATTTTCTACTCATGATTCGCTAGGGTTTGCAGGGATGACAGATGTCAGCTAGGCCTGGTTTGCTACCCCAGGCCCACTCCCCTGCGTGTGCTGGAGATACCTCTGGCTCTCCTGCCACAGGAGATGAGCCCAGACCTGGCCCAGAATGTATTTAAGAAGCTTCTCACATGACTGAGTGGTTTTCAAGGGGGTGGAGCGGTCCACCTCACGCCAGCCATCTTGCCCAGCCTTTGATGACTGTTGACAGCCCTGGGCTGGTTCCCTGACCCCTTTACTGCTTTGTTGTTCTGTGGCTGTTGACTGGCCCCTCCAGTCTCAGAGAGTTATTTCTGTTCTGCTTCACACTTTCCAGCCTTGCCTCCTTTCTTCCGTCCACATCTGCTGAGACACCAGTCCTTGCCGTACCGCGAAATCTCTTATTTCCATCTTGGCATTCTCATCCAATGTCACTTTCCCCTCTATAGCCCTGGCCTTGATAGCAAGTACAAATTGCAGCTGTTTCAATAATCTTAAGGTTATGAGACCATCAGTCCTGCAAATGCATGTTCAGTGAGGTCTGTAGGGAAAAACAGAAATTAAGTCACGGATAAGAAAAATCACGGTGTGCTGGTGAAGCCAGTGTCCAGGTACCAGAAGCTGGTAAAGCAGTGTCAGCTTTTATTTATCTTTATTTAGTGTCTTCAATACTCAGGTTGCCATAAGGTCGATTTTGTCCCATGAGGACTTTGCATATGGAGTGGAATTGGATATAACCAAGAGGGGCAACTATTCACTTATTCACAGATTTAATAACTATTTATTGAGTACTTACTATGCTCTGGGGCAAAGGTTACAGAGATGAAGTGGTTCTGTCCTAGCTTTCAAGGAGCTTATGGTCATTTGGGAACCATATCAACAATAATAATGCTAAAAGCCCCTGGCATCGTGAAACACAGTGAGCCCTAGGGAAAAAAAAAAAAAGCCCTCATGTTATCTTGTTATAACCAAAAATCCCAGGGACTGGGCCACATAGTCACCAGAGCAAACCTCACAGAAATTTGTCAGGGTCTGGAGCAGGGGCACCTGAACTTTCTTACTGTCTACCCTGCCCATCAAAACCCTCACACCCGCATCCCCAGTACGCGTGTTTTGCTTGCCAACTCTATCATGTACCACTCAATAGAATTTCTGATGTCCTCTGCTCGTGCCCCCGTGGCTCTTCTTCAGCACCTCCTGGGTAGACTCCTCAGCCACCAGACAGGTCTCGAGAGAGTCCTTCCTACTGCCGATCAAGGATGTGGAGAGACTCGGGACATACAGCAGGTGACAACTCCAGAGATAATCACAAGAGAACCCCAACATTTCCGGAGGGATGACCGGTAACCACCACTTGCACGAGGCTCAATTTCCCTGTGAATATGTCTATTCCAAAGGCCAAATTAGTTCGAAGTTGCTTAGTGAGCACAGAATTAGAACAAATGGAATCGTGGTCTGTGGGGATCTTTCGTCAAACCGGAAGAACTGATTGAACTGCCTTCTCCTCTCCAGGGATATTTCTGTCTGAATAACCAGCCCTGGACCTCGAATAAATACTGACATGTTTTACTTATAGCCTTCCTTTTTCTAGAATCATTTTAGACAACTGCCCTTCTGTTAATACATCCCCACCTCCGAAAACAGGAATGCTCTTGATTGGAATGAAACTTTAAAATGTTAATTACATTCATGCCCTGGGGATTCAGCCTAAAGAGACAGAAATGCTTTGCTTTAGGCTGAAACACGGCTGAGGACTCTGTGCCTCGAAGGCTCCTCGGTTGTTACAGGATTCTCGCCCAGTCAGGGTGAGGTACGTGCCGCTGGCCCTGGGGACTGGGCTCCGTTCCTCCCAGAACTCTGGTTGTCGAGAGGGCTGCAGCTTCTAGTTTGATCTGGGTTTTATCTCAAGAGACCTTCATTCTCCGTCAGAGGGGAAGCGTGAGCCCAAAGTCCCCTCACAGTATGTTCAGCTAGATCTCAAGTCAGGAAGAGCCCTGGGCCCTCAGATGATAGCAACTTACACAATAACTAAGATTCTTTCTTTTCTGGCATTATTCTAACCAATATCATATCATGTTCTTCTGCCTAAGAGGAAACTCGTCTATTTTTCTCCTGATGAAAGCTATGATGTTGCAATTAAAAAAAAAAAAAAGAAAGAAAGAAAGCTCCAAACTGCATTAAGACTTTTGGATTCGACCAGCACCACACCACTGTTTGACCATAAGGAAGACATTTACAAACATATTTTGCATTGACTTACTGGTTCTAAATTGCCATTCACTCATCTAGATGTCACTATCTCCTAAATGTCTTTAAAAACAAAAATAAATAAAGTGACTTAAATAAGAGGGTTTTTTAAATATCTCATACAGTAATATTATATATTTAATGTAAAATTATGGTTTAAATATAGAAGTACCAACACAAAAGTAGTTTTACTTAAGAATAGCAGTTGAGGGGTGCCTGGGTGGCTCAGTAGGTTAAAGCCTTTGCCTTCGGCTCAGGTCATGATCCCAGGGTCCTTGGATTGAGCCCTGCATGGGGCTCTCAGCTCAGCAGGGAACCTACTTCCTCCTCTCTCTCTGCCTGCCTCTCTGCCTGCTTGTGATCTCTGTCTGTCAAATAAATAAATAAAAAATCTTAAAAAAAAAAGAATAGCAGTTGAGGGGCGCCTGGGTGGCTCAGTCGGTTAGGCGTCTGCCTGCGGCTCAGGTCATGGTCCCGGAGTCCCGGGATCAAGCCCCGCATCGAGCTCCCTGCTCAGACGGGAGCCTGCTTCTCCCTCTCCCTCTGCCTGTTGCTCCCCGTTTGTGCTCTCTCTTGCTCTGTCGAATAAATAAATAAAAATCTTTAAAAAAAAAAAAAAAGAATAGCAGTTGAACTTAATATTGTATATGTGCATAATTTTCATGAAAGAGGTAAAAACATAGTATAAAAATGAGTAGAGTGAACTTAATTGATTAATCATGTTCTCTGAAGGAAAGATATAACAAAAATCAGTGTAAAGTAAAAAAAAAAAAATTTCAAGTGATAGAATAAAATTTTCCACAGACAATTTCCTGACCTAGTAGGGTTTTAGTCAATGATTTGTGAATCAGGAAGCATCTAATCTAGCAGAGAGAAAGTATCTCTGAAGAGCTGTGCAAAGAAAGTAATTTTTCTAGACCAAAGTGAGGAGAAGCAAGAAAGTTGCACTTACGCTGATTGGCTAAAGCAGAGTTATTTCCCTTGTATGGAGCAAAAGGAGGCTTGGAGCCCAGTTGGGGTAATGCATGCTGCGTAGACAAAAGGCAACTGGTTGACTTGAGCCTTCTTTTCTGGGAGAGCAAGGGGTTAGAACTTCATTAAGTTTGGGTTTGCCAACGTGGGGCTTAGCATGAGTGACTCCAACTTAGGCCTAATCTGATGATGTTAAGACGAGTGTAGTATTACAGGGAAAGGCTTTGGGAGCTATTCGAAAGTGTGCTTATGTACTTTAGACCTTAGCCATGACAGTAAACATACTCAGAAATGTGCACGTTCAGAAGGAATTTCTCCCCTGGAGATAAAAATCAAGAGTCAGCTCCTGGTTGTATTGAATTCTTGGCCCATCTGTTCTCATGGAATGTGAATCGTATAGTTTAGTTGGGTGTTTTTATTTTGTCCTGTAAACTGCTTTTCTGCTGTGGACACTGGCTAAGATCAAGCGAGGAGGGGGAGGAGTATAGAACCCTGTCTTCCGAATGGGTTCAAGGGTAGAGGCTAATGGAGAGCCCGTAGGTGGGCTCCGCTCAGCACTCCACACCTGAAATCCCCAGGAAGGAAGAGGTTGGCGGAGGAGACATTCCCTTTATAGCAATGAGCCTGTGGAGGTTTAAGTGGGAAGGGGTGGGAAAATGATGGCCTTCCCTAGTCATCCAGCCTCTCGCCCGCGCCTCTCTTTCTAGAGCTCCCCCCTTCCCCACGCTGTATCCCTGCAACACCTGTACTGGGTGACTGAGCAGGTACTGGCTATTCAAAGGTGGACGAGAAGCAAGAACAGAAGACCAAAGACCCCATTCCTGTTCTGTCCGTCTAGGTCTAGCCCAGGTGCTTCTTGCACCAAACCTAAGCCACCGTACATATGTGCAAGTTCAAAACAGCCCCAACCTGCAGAGGCTGTGCCAAGGGGTGTCCCTCCATGTTCTCCTCTACTGGCACTTACTCCCTAGTGTCCGTCCCTCCATGGCTGCTCTTGGTAGGAGCCCCAACTCTCGATCATCAATAAAACACTTTCTTACACACACATAGAACTTTGGGAAAGTCAAAAATAAGTTTGTGGGGATTTTGTGCAGTGATATGCAGCAGGATACAAGGAAACGAGCCATTGCCAATGGAAACTTGTTAAAACTCAAGAAATGGCTCTCTTTCGTTACTCCCATGATCAAGGTATAAATTACCCTGTTGTTTTTTTTTCTCCCACAGGGAATTACTGGAATGCTGCTTCCTTCCCAAATCCGTCATCCTACCTGCACTTCTCTACTTTCCAAGGGGAAACTAGTGCCGACATTTCTTTCTACTTCAAAACGTTAATCCCCCGGGGAGTGTTTCTGGAAAATCTGGGCAACACGGATTTCATCAAACTCGAGCTGAAATGTGAGTACAAACTCTCTGTCAACTCGTCAGTAGCCACTCTTGGCACTTCCAGCTGATCCCGACCCTGATGATGTGGTGTCATGGGATCCAGACAGCAGTGGTCGTCTTCATTCCGGCGGTGGTGCTGGAAGGTGGATACATGAACTCGGGACAGACCTAAGCACCCCACCTCGGACTGCTCCCAAGGAAGCAGGTGCAGTCAGACATTCCCACGCAATGCTATCCAAGGAAGAAGTTGAGAGAGTAAATTGCTCCCATAACACGGGGAAAGGTTGTGTATTTAAAGTTTGTATGTGTGTTTCTTTTCCAAGGATTTGGGGTTAAGAGGAGACAGAGGATTGTGTAAAATGATCAGGAGTAAAACATAAGACAGTGGGAGGAATAATACAAAGGGAAAGAGGCATCATAAAAATTAATGTCTGTATGAGTTAATGATGCGGCGTAGACACAGCATGGAGTTCTATGTAGAAACTTTCGAGTCTGTAGCTTTCCAGAAGAGGCCCTCAACCCACACACCCTCTAAAGGGTTCCATTCTGAATTTATTTAGCTAAGGGCGCAGAAACTAACATCGTCAGAGCAAGAGCAGATGCTTTCCGGCTCAGCTCAGCTTGCCTTGGGTCCCAGAGACCCTTCCGAGGTCATGTGGCTCGGGGAATGCCATCTGTGGAAGGTGGGGGTGCACTGGGGGTGAGAGGGGCAGTTCTCATTATTCCAGAGCCATTTCATCCTCGGGGCAGAGGATTAGCTTCCGGAATGTACAGTCCATATGCTCCCAGGTTTGGTGACTATTTGCACACATCAGGCTCTCCTGCTGTTCAGACCAAGAAAGAATCAGCATAGGTGACAGAATGGGGACACAAGTCAAGGTCCCATCTCTCTCCCCAAAATCTCAGTGTCCCTTCCCTACATCAAAGTGTCTCCTTTCTCCCACTCTCTGCCCTTTATGCATCATGATACCAAATCCATTTCCCAGAAATATCTGATGGCATGTTTTTCTCTTTTTGTAGTTGCAATTATGCAATATGGTCTTTTAAAAAGGGAATCTCAGGCAAGTTTTTTTCTGCAATAATCCCATGGGATTCTTTTGGTAAAATAGTGAACTGTGGTTAGCAGTCTTTGGAATTCATAGTCTCGGGTCGAAATCCAAGTCCTTGGGTAAATTGCTTCATCTCTTAGAATCCCAATTTCCTGATCTATAACATGGGAGTGGTAATTTGTGGGGCCATTACGATAATAGAATATGGATACTCATAAAGCATTTATTTCAGTATCTAGGAGGTATCATGATCATATCCCTGGGGATGCTCATAATAGATGTAAAGGAAAACTGAAAATATTCTAGCCCTAGAATTAAAAAGTAAATAGTCAGGGACATCTGGCTGGCTCAGCCAGTAGAGCCTGTGACTCTTAATCTCAGGGTTGTAGGTTCAGACCCCACGTTAGGTATAGAGATCACTTAAAAATAAAATCTTCAAAAACAAAAAAGTAATTAAAGAGCCATCCTCTCTTACGTGAATTATGGATTAGAGTTATTTTAAAAGGATTTTCATTTCCACAGTTAAAGTTAATTGATTCAAACTATTTTCCAACTTCTACATCGGTTGGATTGTATTTTAGAAATACCTGATGGCAAAAAAGAAAACTGACGATCCATGTTTGAGTAATGCTATATGCTTCTATAAAATGGCCTTGTCTTTGTTTTGTAAGCCTGTGCCTGGGTTGGAAAGCAGGCAAACCAAGTATAGATAGAGCAAGGGTTTCTACTTAGCACCTGCATGGTAGAATTTCAGTTATTTCTGATGATGAAACATCTTCAAAGATGCTCAGAGTTTCCCCAGGCTTTCCATCATATGAAAACTCCATGCAGAGGGAGAATGATGGCCTTGTTTTGTCAGAGTGCTTCCCACTGGTCAAGAAGGGTGGGACATTCAGACCAGAGGCTGGCCTCCTCTTGGAGTCTCCAGAGCTTCTGCCAATTCCTAAGGGCGGACGTGAGATTCCCCCAGTGGCAGAGACATCAAATGCCTGCCATGCTAGAGCATCTCCTGTAGGTTCCTTGGAAAAAAGGACAGGTTTCTGTATTTGAGAAAAAATTCCTCAAAGCAAACAAGAAACAATGGTTTCCTGAAGAACATGGAGGAAAAATGGCCAGAGGAAGGCTTGCTGCTGCCCCGTTTCCTGCGGTACTCCAGACTCTTCTTTGCAGGAAGCACGGGCCGTGGGTGGAGGTGACATGCTCTGTCCCCACCCGTCTCTCACGCACGCATGGCTGAGGTGCTCTGCACACCTCACTGGTTTCCCCACCAGGAAGCTCAGGAAAGATGGTTCCCGGAGTCACATTTATAAAAAAAAAAAAAACTGTCTCTGCTGCTTTTTCCCCCTTTACCTTGGTAGGCTTTCTGATCTCTTTCTGATAGGAATTCAGATTTTGTTTCTCTGCTTGTGTCCCCGAGGAATTTTGTCACAGTTCATGCCTACACAGTTCATGGCTTCCAGAATAACATTTCTGTTAATTAACTACATCGTGCCCTCCTGTCAGGAGTAGAAGATTCTTGACTCTGGGAACAGTGAGTCAGTTACACTAAGTTAATGAGATATCATCAGCATCTTACTGTGCAAGGCAGAAAACACGCAAGATAAAATTAGATGGATATTACTCATTAGCATACTTTACAGGTACAATTTTAAGGCTATATTTCACTTAATGTCTGTATGTGTTCATTCATTCAGTGAGTGTGCATTGAGTGCCTACAGTATTCCAGATGCCGTGCGAGGTGCCGAGGGAACATAATCAAAAAATATAGTCATGGCTCCCTTCCCTCAGAGAGAAATCAGAATTCTTTTTGTTTGTTTTGGAAAGTAGACAAGTAAACCAGTAGGTACGATAATAATGAAGATAGCTCGGCTTTATTCAGGCTCACTGTGTCTCCAGCACTGTTGCACGGATTTTATGTAAATCATCTCACATCCTAACCAACCTTTGACGTGGGCAATACCATGAACATCTCTGCCTTACAAATGAGGAAACTGAGGCACAGGGCAAGTAAGTTGCCAAGATCACCCAGTTAGGAAATGGCAGGGCTGGTGCCTGACCCCAAACATTTTCCGTCTGTCCCAGAGTCATTGCCATTAACACCAGACCGCACCACCACCCAGAACACATTGAGGAGGCTGATAGCTCCGAGGAGGAGGACTGGAACTGACCGGAAGACAAGGAGCTTCCCAGGGAGTGTAACACTTTAATTAAATTGTGATGCCTGAGCAGGAGCCAGTAAAGTGAAGAAGGTGGGGAGAAGTGGAGATCGGGAAGGAAAACGTGGCAGGAGGGGCACACCAGTGGGTGAAGCTGTGGGGGACAGAACCTAAGAACTCAGCAGGGAGTGGCTACAGCAGGGAGCCCATGTGTTGGGGAGCAGAGAGCTGGGAACAGAGCACTCAATGTGCTGTGGGCTGAGGGGACAGATTTTGTTTGACCTGTCCCTGACAGTTACAGTGAGCAGGGGCAGAACACGATCAGATTTGCATTCACTGGAGAGAAGATGGAAAGACAGACAAGAAGCAATGGGAGGCCTATATTAAGATAGAGGCGGGGGGAATGGAAGAGGGAGACAGCAACATAGGGGTAGAGATATGAGAGACCCTGAGGAGATAGAGTCCACTGATTTTACCAAATGGCTGTGAGGATGAAGTAGAAAGGAAGGTTCTAGAATGAAACCAGTGTTTCTGGTTTTGACGACTGAGCAGTGGAGCACTTGTACAGGTATAGGCTATGGTAGCGTCTATCCCGAAGGACACGTCTAAAGGTGGCATTCATACGAGTCTGGATCCCCACAGAGAGGCCAGAGTCAGAAATAAACAGCGTGAGAGTCACCATCACTAAGAGAACCATCAGGAAATAAGTATCTGCTGCCTTCTGCATGAATGAGATTGCCCAGAACAAATTTATAGAGACAGGGAAGAAGATGTCCGAGAATGGGACCCATGTTTAAGGGATAAAAGGACACGAAACAGCCTGTAGCAGATTAGCAGAGAAGTAGGGAGACAGTGATATCCCAGGGATCAGATGAAGACAGAATTTCAAGAACAAAGAAAGAGTGTTTGGTACTACCGAACTGAGAGGTCACGAAAATAAGGACTTAAAGCATCTGTCAAGTTTAACATGTAGTGGTCACTGTCCAAAAGTAAGAGCCTGTGGAGTGAGTGGAAGTGGATATAGGGATTGGGCCTGTGGTTTTGTTTGTTTCCACAGCTGTTGTATGTGGTGGAGACCTGAGCTCACATTATAGTAAGGAGGAGAATCTGGCAAATGAGAAGAGGTTGGGGGAATGGGAGAGAGGGACTGTCTGGGCTGTGAGGCCCGGAGGAGGTAGAAATGAGTGCGATCCAGAATCCACACTTCTGAAGGGGCCGAGAGAAACAGGTCAGAGTGAGGAGACAATAAGCCACGAACATGGGGGTCACTTTCCAAATCAGAAATGATTTTGTGTTTGTTGTTTTTTGTTTGCTTGTGTGTTTGTTAGTATTTTTAGAGATGGCAGAGGGATGTTTCCCTGAAAAGATTCACTAACCACCGTGGATAGATCCATTTAGTCTTTCAGAGTTACCCCTAGGGAACAACTTGACTTGTCTAGAACCCTTTTGTGGCTACGATAGTGATCATGACCATGGTCCCATCATCAGGCCACCACTTACGGAGCACCTGCCGGGGCAGAAGCCTGGGTAGACTTCAGAGGGTCTAAGATGAAGATGACAGAACCCAACATCCTCACCTAGGGAAGGAGACAGACACATTCATAACAGTACGGATGCATGACTTCACTGAACCTTTCTTAAGTTCCGGGCACCGTTCTAATGCTTTTATAGGTAGTAACAGTTTTAGGTTTCATAGCAAGTTTTAGCCACATTTTACAGAAGAGGGAACTGGGGCTACATAGTCACACAGCTGATTCCAGATAGTGTGCTTGTGATCATTGAAATACAATAAGTGAGTCACAATGAT